TCAATGGCTATCAACCATCAGGAGAAACTGTTGACCTTTCACCTCAGCATAATCAACATGAATTCTCTGCCAAGGCTCAGTTGACCAAGGCCACAGCAGTAAAGGAAATGCCTTAGGAGAATGATGTACCTGGGTACACACATCATAAAGCCTTACCCTCTCTTCTAAATCAAGATCAATTCCAGGCCACCACAGAAAGGACCTGGCTAGTGCTTTCATCCTGCACATACCTGGATGGCACTCGTGTAATTCCTTCAGTAAACGTTTTTGTAAGCTCAATGGGATGATGACACGCCTACCCCACATTAAGCACCCATTTTCCAGCGCAAGCTCATCTCTACGATTCCAAAAGGGTCTAAGCTCTGGACTTGGGCAAGTGCTTGGCCAGCCAGAGGAAGTATATTCATATACCTTTACAAGCAAACTATCTGTCTTCGTACCTTCAGCTATCTCTGCTGCAGTTACGGGCAATTCATCTGTCACGGTTGCAAACACATAGTGCATATCTGGATCCAAAGGCTCATCATCAGGCAGAGATTGTAGTGGAAATCGACTGAAAAAATCTGTATTAGCATTGTCAGCAGAAGTTTTGAATGTAATGTCAAAATCATATCCAGGCAGGAGTACAGCCCATCGTTGTAAACGGGCTGCAGCCAATGGGGGAACTTTAGATTTTGGACCAAAAATACGAGTTAGAGGTTGGTGATCCGTTACTAGTGTTAACTTTCTACCATAGAGATATAGCTGAAATCGTTTAATTCCAAAGATGATAGCCAGCCCCTCTTTTTCTATCTGGGCATAATTTCGTTCACCACTGTTAAGTGTACGAGAAGCAAACCCCACCGGCCGCTCACTGCCATCTTCCATCAGATGACTCAATACCGCCCCTATGCCATATGGACTGGCATCCACACTCAGTTTTAGAGGCTTTTGTGGGTCATAATGGACTAGAACTTTCTCACTAGAGAGAACTTCTTTGGCCCTTAAAAATGAAATTTCACACTCCTTGCTCCACAACCATTCAGTCTTGTTCCCAAGAAGTTGGTACAGTGGCTGCACTTTGGACGAAAAATCCTTGATAAACTTTGAGTAATAATTCAACATGCCTAAAAATGATCGCAGCTGAGACACATCTTTAGGTCTAGGGGCTAGGCGATTTGCGTCCAGCTTGCTCTTAACAGGACTGATACCCTCTTTACTCAAAATATGCCCCGTGTACTTCACTTGAGTTTGAGAGAACTGACATTTAAGGCCATTCACCTTAACATTGTGCTTTGCCAGTCTTCCAAAAACCTGTTTGATCACTTCCATGTGATTGGTGGCTCCACCTGATGTTGCCACCAGAATGTCGTCAACCCTCACCATCACACCTTTAATACCTGACAGGATAGAATCCATGACGCGTTGAAATTGGGAAGTTGCAGTTTTTACCCCAAAACACAGGCGTTTGGATCTAAATAAACCTTTTCTAGTGTTGATGGTTAGTAGCTGAGAGGACTCTTCATCCAAAAATAATTGGTTGAAAGCACTGGCTAAATCAATGACAGAAAAGGTATCAGGAATAGCCCCATTTTGAGACAGCAATACAAACATGTATTGTATATTGGGTAATTTGTACTCATCATCTTCTATGCGTTCATTAATGGCCTTGTAGTCCCCACATACTCGTACGGATCCATCAGATTTAGGGACTTGTACCACATGGCTTGCCCAATTGCTGCTAGATACAGGATATAAAATATCTGATTCAACCAAGCGATCATACTCTCTTTCAACTTTCTCCACAAGCGAGTAAGGGACCGGTCTATCCTTCATGAACACTGGTTTGGCACCCTCTTTAAGTTTTAAGGATCCCTTAAAACCCTTGATACCAGAGCCCTGAGCGCAGAACAACATCTTGTGTTTTTCCAATACATCATTAAATTCAGCTGGAAAGGTCTCAGATTTAGGGATTGAAATCTCATTCCTGGTGATTTCTTCTTTAACGTTAAACACGTTCTTCCAGTCCACCCTTATTCTACTCAACCAACCTCGCCCAAACAATGCAGGGAGATTGCCTTCTACAACAATTAAATCGAGAATGTGTTCCTGATTTTCAAATTTCACTGGTACAGTAATTTTTCCCACTACTAGAATCTTTTCCCCTGAATAATTGCGTAAAATTACTCCCACAGGTTGAAAGGGGTAATCTGATAATTCAGCATCATAGACATGTTTATACACTGTAGAACGAGATGCCCCCGTGTCTACTTTCATTTTACAATTAATCTGCGCCCTACCTAACTGAACATTTACTACATACGGTTTGACGCGATTTACATACTCAGTGGACAATTGTTCAGTTCCAGTTCTCTATAATCCAAAGGCCACACCTTCAGCTGCATCCATAGGTGTGCCTCTCGCATGATTATCGCAGCTTCTTACACTTTCCTCATCAGAAATACTATCGCAACAGTTCACCTTTGACTCCTTTGTACCACTTGATCTTCCTTTAAACATATCGTTTTATTAAATTTGAAATCAAAACCACTTTACCTGATTTATGTAAAGGAGAAAAACGTCAAATCTACAAAAATTGCCAAAATTTTAGAAATAATCATCTCTTTACTTCTGCATTACGATAAAAGCCAAAAACAAAATCAACTTCTGTTTTATCGTTTTTCATTTTTTGTTCAAGTTTAAACAGAAAAGCGAAAATTGACTTGCGTTTCATCTTTTTCTGGCTTTTGCCAAAACTAAAACAAATAAACGAAAAACGACTTCCGTTTCATCGTTTTCTGTTTTTTACCTAAACTAAAACAAATAAACGAAAAACGAAAATCGACCTCCCTTTTATGGTTTTTTGTTTTTTGCCCAAACTAAAACAAATAAACGAGAAACAAAAAGTGACTTCTGTCGAATCGTTTTCTTTTTTTTGGTCCAAACCAAACCAAAGGAACAAAAAAAAAATGATAGCGAAAATCAACTTCCGTTATGTCACGTTTCCTTTAGGGGCACGGGGTGAGTGGGTGAGGGATAGGGCAAGGCCTTCCCCAGACCCTTCCGTAGGAGGAGTCGGAGAAGTCGGAGGAAGTTTTCCCCCTACTGTTGTACCAAGTGACTGGTCAGCAGATTTAAACACTGAAATTTATGGTATGTTATCGTTTTGGCGGGAATTTTCGATCAAGAATGGCGATCAAAAGCCTCGGTATCCATAACTATCTTCATAAACTTGTGGAAAATGACAAGAAAAGCAACAAGGAAGTAAGCTTTCTACCGCGACAGGCTTACCCTGGAGTGAATGGATTATCGGAGAGAAGCGTGAGAAGATTTTGCGCGCAACAAAGCATTCGCAGTCGAAATAGAAGCTTACCGAAAGCAGACCTTGATGCTGTTGTTTTGTCAGCTGTTGCCGAGGTAATTATCTGCGGTATCTAGTCCATTATTGCGTAGAGTAAGAAACTCAGAAGCTATTTTCGACGCAGTTTAAATTTTGTCGGCCTAGTGCGTACGGGCCCTAAGTGATGATTTTGCTAGCAACTTTTTTCAGCGAGCTTAACCGCTCTATGTAGTAGTGTTAGTAAATGACCTCATGAGAGCATTACCATTCGACTATAAAATTGAATCTCTCTGCTTTTGTTTTTCAAGGTAATATTAAAAAAACATTCGCTTCCATCTCTAACGAAGAAATAGGAACGGATTTACGATGAACTGTTTAATTCACTGGCGCAGTTTCAGTGGACTCGTTTAATATAAGTGGCTTGCAATGTTTGTCTGGCTTTTATCTTGACACACTTTCTTCAAGTCTAGCACAAGGTTGGTTCTACGTATGGAAGAAAGATGATGACAGGTCATCTTAGACATTCAAGAGGTTTGCGGGTTGGAATAAACAGAGTGGGACAATTACTCAAAAGAGTCAACCCTCAGTATCATCGCGAGCGACAGACATCAACTACGCGGCATTTCAATCCAGTTCCGTATTACGCAGAATAGTTTGGTCATAAACTCCACCTTGATGAAAATGAGAAACTAATTCGCTACGGTGTAACAGAAGTTATAGCTGTTGATGGCTATAGCTCACTTATTACGGCTAAGTCTGTTAAGCCATTGAAGAACAACCTTGTTATTTACCTGGAGGTGTTTAGGTAAGTCCTTGATGTCGATGATGAATGAATCTAAGGCGGCTTGATGCCACCCAGCAATGTTGCTGAGCTAATTTGTTGTATAATAATAACTGTAATTGCAAAAATAACAATTATAATAGCAATAATGTAAGGAAAACATTTTCTAAGTGCTCTTTATCTTTGTTCTAGGGAAACATTACTACATTACGGTCTCTGGGATCAAGTTAGAGTAGATCATGGCAAGGAGTTTTATCTTGTATTGTTTGTACAAGAAATGCTAAAACTGTATCGAAACAACAATATAAGGCAGCCCTATGTGCAGACACAGTCAAAACAAGTAATGACCAAAGTAAGTGAAAGACTTTACGGTGTGGCAATTAGCATCAGCGCAAATTTTTCTTCTTATAGAACCGTGCGGTGGAACGACTGTGGGTGGAAATGAACTATCACACTAACTATCCTGTGAAGCGTGCACTTGTCCAGATGGAAAATGAAGGNTGATGTATTCTTTAGAGATGCTATCTCATACTACATACAGCTAACAAGACACCTTTCTCGCCAATAATTTTTAGTTTTTCTCACAGGGGACTAAACATGTTCCTTTCGTAGTGCAATCCAAAAATATTAACAAGAACAGGAGAGTCTATTTGTTAAGTACTTTTGATAGAAATAATATGTTTGACAAACTTTGCTGTAAAATGTAAACGAAACCGTTCGATTTACTACAACTATAAAGCAACACAACCTTTTTTTTGACACAAACCGAATGTGTCAAATGTTGAACAAGATTTAGGAAATATTCTAGGATGGTTCAATAAGATTTAGAACCCCTTCAAATCCACGTGCCCGTTGCCTCTTGCTGCCTCCTTCCTCGCTTCTGCAGAGTGGGCAGGAATTGCTTCCTTGATACCATTCTTCGGCACATTCAACGCAAGCAACAAGACGCTGGCAGCAACCTGCAAATTTGACACCATCTGGTGGAAAAATATTCAGGCATATGGTGCATTTGAATGCGGTGGCCAGCGCTTTTTCTAAATCGTGTAGCCTCTTGCAGCAATTCGTGTGGCGCTGGATGTGATCTTCCATGTCATCTAATTTATCCAAGATGAGATTGATAGTTGAATACTCAGCGAGAGATGGCGCATTCGTAAACCTGCCTCTTTTCCCTCTCCGGACGTCATCTTGGCTCTTTTCTGTTTCATGCGCTCGTATTCTACCTCTCGGTAGGCATACATCTTCAATGTTCCTTTTCCCCAGAATTCAGGTCCCGCATAAAAGCGATAATTTTTTATCAATATTTGTTTTTAACCTCATTCCTGACAGCCTGGGGATGGACCGGCAGAGATTTTTAAGAGCAGTCAAGCATAAATTATTTTTTAAATCTGTCCTCAAACTCTTTGATTGGTCCAATGTATGTTCATAAAACCTTTAATTGCCCCTACTTTTGGGCTTCTTTTTTTAGCAACACGATAGATAACTTTTTGCATCATAATTTCCTGATATAATAATCGCGTTCTTACCTTGAGTGCTTGGATTATCGAGGATCTCAAAGCCGTTTTTGTCCACAATTACCAAGTCATCCTCTTTGTTGAGGTATTCTTTGGAAAGTTGTGAAACGTCTACCACTGTGCATTTTTCTGGAGTTAGTTTAAAGTAGGCTGTTGCAGTGGGGATGGGATTTCCACTGTCAGGATCGAGTTCAGCCAGGAATACTTTTCTTCTTATTTCTCCCGACTGTTTGGTAGCTCTGTTTAGGGCAGTGGGAGTCCTGCTGGAACTAGGCATGTGTTGAGTAGGAACTTGGAATGATGCTGAAGTGGCTGCTGATGATGGTAAAGGCGACAATCCAAAATCATGGGGGGATGGAACTTGAAAGGTTGTGGGCGTGCCGGGTACTTCTGTATTTGATCTCTTTACTTCAAGGGATGACCTCACAGGCGGCCCAAGCTCTCTTTGAGAACCACACAAGGAACACAATTTGCATATTTATAAGGATTTGTATGGGATTTTCTACAAGATATCCACAGAGATAGTTAAAAGTGAAAATATTAAATAAAAATAGCTTACCTTGTTCCATACGTGTGTAGTTTGCTCCTGGTGTCGTTTTTTTACCGATTTCACTTGATTTAAGCGGTTTTTTTTAATCCTGGTTTTCTTCCACATAAAGAGGAGAAGACAAGGCCGAACACTTCTGTCCGGATAGCCTGTCGAACGAAGTAAAAAGTCCCGAGCTAAAATGTACCCACGGCCACAAATCCACCGCAGAATTCAAGGGCAAAGGTTGATCTTTCATTTCAATTCTCTAGCCACACAATCTCAGCCCGGTGATCGGCGCCAGGCGGCTCTTCGTGTCCTCAGTGAAACGCTAAAACGATGGTAGACGTCCGCGTACATTTGAACCACGACACAACGACCGTTGAAATCGGCTTGGTAACCTCGTCATGTTGGCAAACTAAGACTCGCCGGGGTACTGGACCTCAACTCGTCAACAACATCCTCTGGGATGACATACTGGCCTCGTCCCACACAATTATGTCGAGGCTCTTGACTCGGTCTCGAACTACCGAATTTTCAGCCGAGCGATCAATCAATTGTCGCCAAGGTAATTCTGCCGTGGATAAGCCATAAAACGACTGAACAGTTGACGCAACGCCGCTATCATACACTTGACAAGCAATGCCGCTCGAATATATCACACCGATCTTCTTTAATTCCCGCACGTTTCGCCTTTCCAATAAATACTTTTACGACCTCGCTTTTACCAACGCCAGCCTGACAAGTAATCAATAAATTGTGACCTTCAAACGCAAAGTCCACTATTTGACTCTGGTCCACATTCAACTTTACCCTGAAGTATTAAATCAAAATACAACATCACCTCGTGATCGCTTGTAAGAAACTACAACATGCGAATATATTGGAAAACTTGAAGTTTTCAAGAGCGGGAGACATCCATCCATCCATCCATCCATACATACATGAGAAAAAAAACCAACGTAAACCAATTCAAATACTTAGACGATTGAAAAGAAATAACAAGTCAACCGGCTACATTTCTTCCTGGGTTTCCTCCGAGTTTTGCAAAAATTTCGCACTTGTAAACAAGATGCTGCGTGGTTTTGATTGGGTGCTTGAGACAATGGTACATTTTAG